CTTATTGACTGTATCCATATAAGTAATAAAACTAGGAAAAAGATGAAAAACTTGGAAATATTTAAAAAAAAATAATTAAAACTTCACAAAAATAGAGCTTGCAAAAAAAGGTGGTCCTTCGATATTGGTGATACTTGGTTCAGAGCTCACCTACCCTTAGTCGAACAAGCCCACAAAATTTTAGGTCTGGCCCAGCTTTTTAGCTATGGATCGGTTTACATTTCATACCCTAAGACCCTATTTTGGTATCGTTACTTCAACGGCATGAGCCAAGAGGGCTTGTGTTAGGTTAAAATCTTTTGAGCTCAGGGATGACCCCCAAACATTCATTAAAACAAGACATGTCTTGTCCTGAGACATATATTCAAGTGTTAAGCCTCTACGTTGATATCTTGGAGATAATGAGAAATATATATTTACGCAGACCATTTCTGCCATTTGGAAGTAACCTTTCCAGACTAAGTATTCTTCTTGCTTCATTTTAAAACCTTATCAAGATTTCAACACCTAGATCCCAGCTCAAAAGTGATTATTAGATTTAATACGAACACTCTTGGCTCATGCCGTTCAAGTTACGATACCAAAATGAGGTCTTAAGGTATAAAATGTGAACCGACCAATTGTTAAAAAGCTGGGCCAGAATTAAAATTTTGTGGCCTTTTTCGACTAAGGAGATGAGATCTGAACCAAGTATCATCAAAACCAAAGGACCGCCTATATTTGCAAGCTCTATTTTTGTGAAGTTTTCAGAAGTTTTTTCTTAGTAATTCCAAGTTTTTCATCTTTTTCCAAATTTTATTAGTTGTAAGAAAACAATAGTCTACAGGTAAGCCAATGAAACCTGGCTGGTCGCTTTCTGACTACACATGTCAAGTGGCCACGGAATGTGACATTCAAAGTTGACAAAAGTTTCAAATCGCTATTAAATCTGAACGGTCACTCCAACCATCTCAGTTCAAATTACGATACCATTATAAGGTCTAAAGGTATAAAATGTGGACCGATCAACAGATGAAAAGCTGGGCCAGACCTAAAATTTTGTGGGCTTGTTCGACTATGGGTAGGTGAGCTCTGAACCAAGTATCACCAATATCGAAGGACCACCTTTTTTTGCAAGCTCTATTTTTGTGAAGTTTTAATTATTTTTTTTAAATATTTCCAAGTTTTTCTTCTTTTTCCTAGTTTTATTACTTATATGGATACAGTCAATAAGCCAATAAGCCTATGATAAGCCAATGAAACCTGGCTGGTCCCTTTCTCATTACACATGGCAAGTAGCCAAGGGATGCGACATTCAAAGTTGACAAAAGTTTCAAATCGCTATAGAATCTGAACGGTTTGGAGTTGCCAAAAAAAATTGCAGAGCGACTCAGGGGGTCATCCTAAATGGATTGACAACTATTTTGGCCAATTCCAGCAGGGCAGGTTGCGGGAGGGGGGCGGGGTAGGGTGAGGGATAGTAGGGGTACAGCTAGACATCCCAAGAGAGACGGAAAGACTGCGCGCCGGATTGGCTGCCTACCTTCACGGGGCGTCTCAGCCGATTCGCGCGCACAGGTTCAGTAAAATTGAGAATTCTTGTGTTTGGAGGCCGAAACCCAACTTTTTCTATATACCAATCGAAAGCTTATGAAATTTCGAGTAAGTGAGTACACATTTGACAAGTTAAAATGCTGCCGTTTACTTACTTTTTCAATTGGAAAAACTTGTAATGCAAATTTTGAGTTTTAGCGGCATTTTTGCGAAGTTTGGCATCCACTTACCCGATCGGGCTCATATTGGTACCGTTGGATTCGTCTTAAAATTTCCTTTCGAATGGTATAAGCGGCATGCTTGTAGCTCATCAACCTGAGCTATGAAGTTCAAAAATGTGTATTTTGCCAAGCTAAAATTTGAGTGCAGAGTTGTTTATTGCGGCCTACAGCTCCTAAGGGAGGGCCACACCCACTATTTTTGAATACAGATATGGAAAGCCCATAAACTGAACTACAATTTAGCTTGGTCGGAAGTGCAGATTTGGATTTTCTACTAGGGTACGCAGGCTCGTGAAATATGGCTTCATTTTCATGTTTTTCGCAATTTACTTCACTGGTAAAAACGCTAGACCAAATCTGAGGGCAGATTCGGATTCCTCGTCGCATTTTACGTCAGAATAGCTTTACCGCATGAAAAACGGACAAAAAATAGCCTTGTTGGGCCATTTTGAAGAAATTACAAGATTTTTAAGACTTAAAAATTAAAATGCCGATTCTGACGAAACCACTTGAGATATCGACCTAAAAATTTGTGGGCATGTTCCTGACCACTAGGGCTACCTTCGTGCCAAATTTGGTCGAAATCGTCAAAGGTCACCCAGATCCGTGTAAATCTTATATGGAATGACCCGTTATCCAGGGAACGCGAGGATGTCAGAGGTGGTGGAAAATAGGGCACGTAAGGGAGGGTGGGGCACCATGACCACTGGAGCACCATGACCACCCCCCTCGGTCTCGGGAACTACTTTGCCGACGGCAACCGGTCGACCGGACTTTCGAGAGAATAGAATTCTATTTTCAGCCAGAGCCCTTCCTTCTAGCTTCAAGGGTACGACCATAGCACCTCGCCAAAATTTTTGTTACAGCGTTTTGGCTAAATTGGGCGTTTTTCAAATCTGAGATATTTTTTCTCACTCTCACATTTGAGGAGATAAGTTCGATGTCTTAGGTTTTTCTCAAAATGTCGGCTCTCCGGCAAAATATCCAACATCACATTTAATTCTAAGTAGCTTTTTGCTTGCTCGGGGAGCCTTAGAGTCGTAAACTGCATTGTGGGGAGCCATGACCACTTTTTAGTGGGGCACCATGAACATACATATTTGAGTGTTTTTTCTCATATTTTGGCCTGATTATGATTTATTTTCGTCGAAAATTTGCTTTGTGTTTCTGAAAATGTATAAGGTTTGAGTAATTGCTGCAGAATAGATAGTTTTATCACAAATCGTGAATCAGCAGGATGATTAAGAATGGTTCTGCAACTGAGACTTGAAATGGTAGTTTCTCTTGCACCAGAGCTCCAAACCGCAAAAGTTGGCCACGAAGGCGATCCGTGGCTACTTTGCACCAAGATGGCTCTGGCATTATAAGAAACAGCATTTAATTCGCTTGTTTGCAGTGTAGTAACCGCGATAATTTTCTTAAAATTTACCAAATTGAAATCTGCATACGAATTTGGATTCGTCTTAGCAAGACAAACATAAAATGTTAACACATGTCATAGCTTTGGATGTGAAATTTGAAAGCCTTAGAGCGTTAACTGTTTTAAACCGTCCATTTTAAGGCATCTTAGAACGTTTGATACTTAGAAGGTTTTTAGTGTTTTTTAGTTAAGTTGACTGGCCTGATGGTAAGGACAGCGGTATAAACAATTTCAGTGAGAATACTGGTAGAAAGTACACTTTTTTGGGCCAAAAAAATTTCTATGGTCATGGTGCCCCACGGGGTGGTCATGGTACCCCATAGGTGGGGCGCCATGACCACTTTGCGTTTTATTTTCCAAAATGTTCTGTGAGCCTGCCGTGCATTGCAGACAAGTTCCAATGGGTGGAAGAGGTCCTTGGAGGTCCAAAGAATCCCCTCATGCTGGAAACTTAACTTTTCGAGCCACACGGTGGAGTAGAGGGAGGCACAAAAAAAAAGTGGTCATGGTTCCCCACCCTCCCTTATTAAATGGATGTTCCCTTAGCTTCACCAGTGTAATAAAGTAAAGGTTTCAGTTGCAGTGGTGAAAACAAGTTTAGGGCCAAACAAGTGCAAGGTGTTTTCTTGGAATACTACAAAAAAAGTCTTATCAAAATGGTACAGAAAATTTCAAAATTGCATTAAGGGCCACATTGGGGACAAAGACTGCAACTTGGGGTAAACTAAGGTTACTTGTGCCCAAAAAAGAACGTAACACGAAAGTTTGTTATTCCGTTTGAACCTTAAAACTCTAACGGCCACAACACTGCAAAGAGGAAGTTCAGAACCACCCTACGTATTTTCACTGTAGTCCCATGAACAATGCACTGTGGTCTTATACATTATACAATTTAAACCATGAGCGCGCTTATCCTAAATTTTAACGCGAGAAGTTTCACGTGCTCAAAAGGTGCACACACTGTCGGAAATTTTGTACACCGTGGCTTCAAATTTCAGTCATTTCACGTTACTTCGAAGTTTTTTCACGTTCCTTCAAGTTATTGTCCCCTCCCATGCTCAATTTTTGTATGAAGCAATGCACAAAATTGTACGCTCTTAATCTCTGACACTGTACACACTTAATTCTTGCGGACTTTTTATATGCATAATTAAAGACACTGATGGAAAATACCACAACAACTAACTAAAAATGCTCCTGGCAAATTTTTTCTCAGCAATTTATTGAACTTTTTAAGTGGAACAATTGTTGCACGAAGTTCACCGGGATGACGAGTGCAGTGAAGTCCACGCCTCGTTGCAGTTTGTACAATTCCCCTTGAACTTTCTGCAATCCCCGTTGTGCTTTTTTCGTTCAGTTTTCGCTGTACACACTAAACTTCTTACGGATACATCCTATCTGTATTACGGACATTTTTGTGCAATTGCAATTACGGATAGATTTTGCTTGTAATACGGATGAAATCATCCGTATTACAAAGAGTTTTACGTCCGTACCATACGGATATTTTCGTCTGTATGTTACGGACGTAAAACTCTTTGTAATACGGATGATTTCATCCGTATTACAAGCAAAATCTATCCGTAATTGCAATTGCACAAAAATGTCCGTAATACAGATAGGATGTATCCGTAAGAAGTTTAGTGTGTACGTTTCTTACTGTGTACATTTTATGCATCTTTCTGCAAAAAATGTACTTATCATGCATAATATTACACACACCATACCATACGGACATATCTGAGCAAGAATAATTATGCATTGTAAAGTCCACAAGGATTTAGCGCGTGCAAGCACACAGTTCTCCTCTGGCACATTTGGCTTACCTTTCTCGGGGGATTCACGTGTCCCGCGAGGGGCGTCCTGCACCGTCGCCGCAACCCGTTCCAGCTTCACGCAGAGCGCCAGGTCGTCGTCCACGAGCGAAGGGTGGATGCCGGAGAGGAACACTTCGTGCACGTCGTCGGCCTCCGTGTCCAGCGCCCACGACAGGTAGTGGTCCGTCGGCATGGTGGAAGGCCTGCCGAGAGAATGAGACTTAATTTTAAGGGGTTTGAGACAATTTTTAAAGTTGATAGAATAGGGACTTCTTAGCAGAAATGAATTGGGTATTTCCGTGACTCTTGAAACGGAAGGAAGAAAAACACACACTCAGAAAAGCTTGCAAAGAGATGTACTTTGCAGTACAAAGTATTCTCCGGCATTGTAGAACAAATTCCCTTGCGAATTTTTTTCTTCGCATTGCAAAAAATAGTTCGTAAGTTGCGAAGAAAAAAGTTTGCAACGTTGCGAAGCATTGGTTTGTAACGTTGCAAAGCATTTTCTTCGCAAGTTGCAAAGAAATACTTCGCAATGCAAAGAAAATAGTTTGTAAGAGAGATTGCAATACAATGCCGGAGAATACTTTGCAAGGTTTTTTGAGTGCAAGTAAGTGCTCAACTTCCGTCCCCTCGCCTGAGGAGGGGGTAAAGATGGCTGCCCCTTGAACTCCCTCCTCAGGCAAGGGGACGAAAGTCGAGCACTTACTTGAGTTCTTCTTCCTTCCGTTTCAAGAGCCGCGGAAATACCCAATTCATCTCGTCAAGACAAACGAAAAATGTACACACGTCATAGGTTTGGATGGAAAATGAAAAGCGTATTTATCTACAAACTTTATAAAATGGTCAAAACTGACCTTTATGGTACTTTTGAAGCTCAAGAACATTTTCACTTCCGATCCAAACCTATGATATAAGTTGACATGTTTTGTTTGTCTTGTCGAAACGAATCCATTTCTATTGAAAGATCTTGATTTGTACCACGTGAAAAATTCACTCAAGCCCCTTCGAAATAAAACCACTAACACATATCCCCTAGGATTTCAAGGCGGCACTTTAACCGTGGAGAAACAACCGTGACTAAGTGCCACCATTGCATGATGAACTTCTGACGGATACCATACGCAACGGTAATGCAGACAATTTAGAGCAAACATGTTTAAAGATGGATTTAATTAGTAATACGCAAGATTTCGCCCGGACTACGAAGATTACGTTGTCCGCAACCTACGGGTGATTGTCATTGTTTGTTACGGACTCCTTCAGTAGTGACCGAATACTTCAAAACCAAATCGAATCTGAACACATTAGGTTCATGAACAGAACTAACACAAACAGTTTTCACATCGGATTGTCAAAGCAGCTTTAAGTGCTTCCTGTAGCCAGAAACATTTCAACACACACTTAAGTCTTGTAGGCTTATAAACGCATATTTAAGCGCGTACACGGTCAAGTCCTTACGGATAGCAAGTTTGTACACACTAAACTTCTTACGGATACGTCCTATCTGTATTACGGACATTTTTGTGCAATTGCAATTACGGATAGATTTTGCTTGTAATACGGATGAAATCATCCATATTACAAAGAGTTTTACGTCCGTAACATACAGACGAAAATATCCGTATGGTACGGACGTAAAACTCTTTGTAATACGGATGATTTCATCCGTATTACAAGCAAAATCTATCCGTAATTGCAATTGCACAAAAATGTCCGTAATACAGATAGGATGTATCCGTAAGAAGTTTACTGTGTAGGTTACGGTTAGTTTTGTGCAGCCGTATTACGGATCGAATTTTGTTTGTAATACGGACGTTTTTGTCCGTAATACAAAGATTTTGATGACCGTAGTATACAAAAAATTTCGTTGTAACATACGGATTCCCAAATCTTTGTATTACGGACAAAAACATCCGTATTCCAAACAAAAGTCGATCCGTAATATGGCTGCACAAAACTATCCGTAACCAACAAACACGCTATCCGTAAGGACTTAAGCGTGTACGTAAGGTGCGTAAAATATGATGCATCACTGTGTCCATGCACAGTGTGCGCATGTGTACACTATGCCAAAAGATGCATAAAATGTACACGGAGTGGCCGAAAAGGTACGTAACTAAGAATTAGAAAAGTCCTCAACGGGATCAGAAGACAGAATTTTATGTCAAATTCGATTCCTACACAAATCAAATGTGCCCTCATCTGATTCCAAAAATAACAAACTCTGTTTAACGTTAATAATTCTAGCGTTTGGTTTGCTTTATCAACGTAGAAATAGACCGCTTCGCGCATCACCGCCACATCAGGCCCGAGTAATAAATCACCCGACGAGAACAAATCGAATAAGAAAAGGCCGAATTCATGTACTGCTTCCGGTCTGTCTTTGATGAACTTTTTGTTCTTCAATTCAGGCCTTCCTACACGGCAAAAGCACCGCCTGGGATTCCCAGGCGCATCATGGGAAAAAGGGCCTATTTTCCAGGCACCGCCTGGAAATCCAAGGCGGTACTTTTGCCGTGAAGAAATGTTCAGTTCGTTTGGGGCAAACTGCTAAGTCGTATATGTTATGTTACGCAGTAATAACACCGTATCCCCCCCCCCACACACACACACGTACGCACACAGTCACGTGTCCGGGCTACATGCGCGCTGCGCAAAGCCGTTATTGAGAGTCTCTCTCTCTCTCTCTACGCACACAGTCACTAACCGACATAAATCTAACGTTTGATACTGACAGAGAACAGAACCGGAAGTCCACACTTAACTTAGGAAACATGCGGCGCATATATTGTTAAGTTGTCCAAACTGCCATCCTCACCCCTGACAAAGCGGGGTATCACGGTCAAGCTGAAACTTACTCGCATGAAACGCTCACGCTTGATATTAAAGCAGACTTAGTACGTGTCACTTGCACGACTTTATGCACTCCGGCTACGGAGACCCCTTCACAGGATGCCACTGGGTTCACAAGTGTGACAATGACGTGGGGCGATAAGAAACATATTAGGCCTAAGGGATTTCAATACTGGCGAACATTCTTCATATCGATGCCACATTTGAGTGAAGTGGGCAGACTGAACCTCTAATTAGACTGCATAGCACATTGGGACTCTCTGGAATCCGTAAGTTTCGAAATTTCAAAATCTTTCGCGACCCTTACATCTGTTACTATTTGACTCGGCACTGGGTGTGATTTCATATTACAGCGAGTCATTCGAGAAATACTGCATACGAAACTCAAACTACTTTATTGCTTGTCAAAACAACAACGCATGTTACACGAATCGACCTCCGTGCGTGTTACGCTAACAGGGCGTCCTCAACCTGTGCTGCACTCGTGGGAAACTGTTTAATGGACCCTTATAGTCGTCGCCAGGTGAAGAATAAAAGTAATCAAAAGCAGGAAACAGCAGCACACCACCAAGCGGCCGCCGCTCTGAACCTCGTACAGACCTATGCCTGTGACCTAGGCCCGGGAGGAGAACAAAAGTAATCAATAAGACAGGAACCAGTAGCGCGCCACCTAGCGGCTGTTAAGGGAGAGTGGGGTAATTCCGGACACTTCGATTTTCACTGGGTTTGAGTGAAGATAAGTCAAAAGCCCGCCCAACAGAGGAAGATAATCAGTTAACTAGGGGTACGCGCCGTTTAGTCTGGGCGCGTAGTGTGGCTGAGCGATGCGAATTGACATAGTTTGTGCATTTTGGACTTTGCTTGAGTAGACAAAATGTCCATCTTAAGGGCTCATATTCAGTGAACTTTAGACCAGGGGTTAAAATGGAAGTGATTTTCGTTATCAGAACCCCAAAAACTGCTGGGATCAGTGTCAAACTCCATTTAAAAATTTTGGTCCAAAATTGGTCAAAATTCGGTCAAATGTCAGCCTGGGAAAAGTTTGAAGGTCATTTTTGAGTTCAGCACACAAAAACTGCAGGAAACAATATAAAACTCGACATGAAAATTTTGGTCCAAAATGACCTAATTTGGGATAAAAATATAAGTCTGGAGTCGAAATGAAAGCGATTTTCGTTATCAGCCCCAAAAAAACTGCTGGGATCAATGTCAAACTCGTTTTAAAAAATTTTTGGTCCAAAATTGGTAAAAATTCGGTTCAATGTGAGTCGGGGAAAAATTTTTGGAAGTCATTTTTGAGTTCAGCACCCCAAAAAACTGCGGGAAACAATATAAACTTGACTTGAAATTTTTGGTCCAAAATGACCTAATATGGGATGAAAATATAGGTCTGGGGTTAAAATGGGAGTGATTTTCGTTATCAGCACTCAAAAAACTGCAAGAATCACTGTAAAATTTAAATTTAAAAAAAAATTTAAAACCAAAAATTTTGGGTTTAAAATTTTGGGTCAGGGGACAATTTAGCGGTCAATATTGAGGTCAGCGCACTGAAAAATACAGGGAAACACATAAATCTCATCTTGGAAAGTTTGGCCCCAAATTGCGTAGCTCTAGATGAAATGTAGGATTGGCGTTGAAATAAATGAAGTTTTTGTGACCGGTACACTGAAAACACACAAATACTTTAGACGCAATTTCTGTATGTTGTTTCTATTTGTCTTCATGAAGCACCCTCTGTCGTCCCCAAATTCCCTGATGGCACACCAAAGCAAATCCCTCAGTCGAGTAAAATTCAATTGCCAGCATTCAATCGCTTTATTGGCTACTCGTATGCTTGGTCACTATTCGATAACTATTTTTTCTTAACTTATGAACTCACAATTTTAATAATATTTATAAAACATTTTGTCATTCTTTCATTGTAAACCCAGTGAATAAAACAATATTGATTGGAATATGTTATCACAGTTAATATTGAGAGAGTCAGTTCAGGGTAGGCTGATCTGAACCAGTTAGCGGGGGCCAATTATTGTCAAATCCAGTGTTTCGTCACATAGAGACCAATGCTAAGGCTACCCAAGGCTTAATGAACCGACATAATTTATCTTACTCATGTGATAAATACTAAGTAGTATCAGTTATATTAACTTTGGTGAAGTTAAAGGAATCGTCTCTTTAAAATCCCATCACTAATCATATAAAAGTTGGTTGTCTATAGGGATGAAAAGGGCCCGGTAATATTCCCGGGTAAAGAACGGTATAATACGGTAAAATACCGTATTTTACGGAGACCCCGGTAAAATTGGTATTTTTCGGTAATTTTGAAATTTTGACTTTTTGAACTTCT